GCCGGGGGCGGGGAGAAGGCGGGCGTCGCAGCGAGGGGCGGGGATGGGGGGTCCGCTACATGGGACCCCCACCTGGGAGAGGGATCCGCAGCCGGGGCCGCCCCAGCCCCAGGGCTTGGGGACAAGAGCTTGCTGAGACTCTGAGGGCGGAGAAGAGCCAGGCCTTGGTCCCCTCCCGCAGCGCGTGCCCCTCAGGCGCTGGTTTAGGCCTTGTACCCACCATCCTGCCGCAAACTCTTGCCTGGCCCAGCCAGCCCTTCTTCCCACGGCGGGCCTGGAGGCAGGGAGGCCACAGGGTTAGGGAAAAGCACGCTGACACGAAGGAGGCCTGTCTTTCTGGCTGAAAGCAGAGTTCCTCAGTGTGTTTGCCCCTAGCTGCCATTACCTCCCTGAAGTCCAGCAGGTCCTGACCACTGCAGGAAAAGACTTGAGATAGCCAGGCACTGGCCAATGTCCATGCTGGCTCTGAGGCTTAGCAGTCTCTGAGGACTGTGATGCTTATCCACGGGGTAGTGCTGGAAATGGAACCTCTAAGCCCACACCAGTGGGGTAACTGGGACACTCCAGACAAGGGCTAATGATCCTAGTGCCTCCGGATCGTTGGTGTGGCAGGCCAGGGCACTTCTAGGAGTAAGACGGGGGCACAGAGCAGCAAGGAGCCTCCTTGCCTGGTGCCAAGTGTGTACTCAAAAGGACTAGACTGACTGTGGCTGGAAGTGGATTCAGGGTGCTTCACGGTGCTCTGGATGTCAGGAGCCAGCTGTCTCTATCAGAACTTGGAAACTGGGGCTGAGGATATAGCTCAGTGGCACAAGCAACCGCCCAGCAAGCACAAGGTCCTGAGTTCGATTCCCAGTATCAAAAAAAGACCTATCAGAACTTGGAACCTAACTATCTACACCTGACCATGCTGTGTATAGGCAACCAGGAAGGCACTGAAGCAAAGCAGCCACAGGATTGAGGCAGGTGCCTGACAAGTATTTCCTATTGTCTTTCTCAGCTGTTACAGCCACCCTGGCTGGTAGGTACCGTGAACATTGTACAGCACAAGTAGCGTAGTGGCTCAGGGATGCTGAGACTCAAGTGTGGGTTGGTCATATTCTAAAACCTTAATTCCTAGTTATGATCCTTCAGAGATTAATGGAGCAGGAGGAGTGGATGGGAGGAAGCAGCTGACCTCAGGACAGGGTGATGGAAAAGAACAGAAGACATGACAGGAGGGAGGGATGGGGCAACCACTGATCAGATGAGGGAGTTCTCAGGATGAGATGAAATTAGAGGGACACAGATAGCTTTCCAGTCCCAGGAACATGAGAGCACACAGGCTAAGTGGGGGGAAAGAATGGGGATCTTCAAGCTCACTAGAGGCTTCCTGCATCCCCGTCTGCAAGCTGGGGCACATCTCAGGCCACCTTTAGCCTTCACCGCACTGCTGCCTGCTTCCAATAGCAATAGAGATCAATTTCTGGTGGCAGGGCCAGTTTCTACTGCTATCATTGTTTTGCTCCTAACAATATGGAGAAGAAAAAAGACCTTTTATACTAGAAGAAGAAAAATAGGTATTTTAAGTAAGTTTTGGCAATGAAGACCACATGTGTGCACTTCTGTGTTGGAAGGCAGTTTTATGCACTAGCAGTCAATGAGGCAGTCTTACTCTGAGGGAGCCTGGGCAAGGTGCTTATCTATGTGTCAGTTTCCTGTAAAAGGAGGATAGGCTACCATCCAGCTCAAGGTACTCTTGTGCGCAGGACCTGATGGTAGCGCTCTATCAAGTCTACAAGCTGCAGGGCTGAGGAGCCATGCTTTGCCTCCCAGGATACACACACCCCCCTCCTTAGAATCTGCCTCCCTTGACCCTGGTCAAAACTGATGCATCAGGGCTGGGCTGAACCAAGGCACTGTCAGTCACTAACCTTGAACCTAGAATATGCCCTCTGGCCCCTCAGCAATTAAGCAGCACCAGCTGCAAAATAAAGGCTCTGGGACAGCTTGCTGGCTGGTCCCACAATACAACCATCTAGCTCCGTCATGCACCTTAGGCACCAGCCACCAAGTCACTGGCCAGCTGAGGGCTGGCAACCCAAGGATTTGACAGAGCCAGGCAGAGGTGGCTGCAACCACCATGATGTCAAGAGGTCAAGCTCAAGTTCCCATTCCCTTTAACTTCTCTCCTCACTCTTTTCCTCCAACTTTCCGACCCTCTTTGTTTAGTGGCCTCCATGAGCACCTGTGCCACAATAAAGGACTTATCAGCAAGGGCAGTGAATCCCTCCACATGTACACACCAAAAATGACAGCACACACAGGAAACGATGCTTTTCTAAATCAATACAATTTCTCAAATTTATTATTTTCTTAAAGAAGTACTTCTAATCTCTGTCAAAAGGGAGGTGAGGAAAGGTCCCCCTCCCTTGTAAACACTGAAATACAGATCTGGGAAACCAGGATCGACACACACAAAAAGTGCATTTTACAAAATATCAACTAAAATATATTTTACATGGATTATGCTTCCATTGAAATTCTACCAGCTGCATTTTCAGGTTCGAAAAAATATTTCCACATCTAAGAGATTTCAAAAGCATTTAAGTCCTGGGCAGCAGACCCTGCCTTCTGGGAGGATGGGCCCTGATCTCTCCTGCAGGGGAGGCTGAACTTGGCAGCACCCTGGGAATGAGGGGGCTCCAAGGCTGGCTCTCCAGGGTCCCCACTGCAAGTCGGCCAATCTCTCTTACTGCCCTGCCCTCCCAGGCTCACACCTTCCTCCAAACAGCTTATTTAATGCAGGGAGACCAGGTCCTTTCCCTTCAAATGTGGGAAATGCAACTCTGAGGCCTCCAGGACCAGCCCAGCCCAATGACCAATCAGGAGCAAGCCATCTTCTAAGATCAGGACGGGATCCGGGGGTGCACTCAGGATTTACTTCCACCTCTCTCTGTGGCCCCTGTGGACTGTCCTCACCCGGTGCCACCTCCGCAACCTGCTGGGCCTGTCTGCCCCTCCTGGGGGAAGACCCAGTGCCACTCTTTGGCTCCCATCCCTGTGGGAACGTTCAGCTAGCAGGTTCTCAGCACCAGGTCCAAGTCGTACTTCACAATGCACCCACTCCCTCTCCCCACCATGCTCCTCTTTGGTACAAATAGGAAATAACCAGGCTTCCAGCCCCTCACTGAGAGCCCAGGGTCAGGGCTGGTCTAGTCTGGGAAAGGACAGTAGGGGGCTGAGCCGCCTCATCAGTCTACTCTGGGGAGCAGCTTGAGGTGCGAGCAGGGCCTCCGGCTGGGTGTAGAACACACTGAAAATGCAGGTCTGCAGCTCCTCAAGTGAGAGGCTGCAGCTCAGCAGGTCTGTGGACTGCTACAGTGTTGATTCTGGCTGGGATGTAAATTAGTGCAATCTACAAAAGACTAGGGGAAGGGGTGGCAGGGCAAGGGGAGCCACAACACTCCTTTGGTTTGATTTCAGGTGGGTGTGGCTTGAAGAGTCATGTGTGAAGTTCTGCAAGAGGTTTCCCAGAACCTCCAAGTGTAAGGCAAGAGGAAAAATCTTCAACAAATCAGGTAGCAATTTTCCTTGCCCCCTGCCCCCCACCCTCTCCCAGCACCCATCTGCCCTCCCAGAAATGACAAACTCCACAATGATCAGTTAACTTTCTGGGGAGCCAGACCTGCCAGGCGCCCCTCAACAGGAGGCAGGCAGGAAGCTGACGCCCACAAGTGGGCCACCTATGACTGTCAAGGGCTGGTCAGCTTGTCCCAGCACCAGTGGCTACTGCAGGGGCAAAGGAGGAAAGCCAGGGAAAGGCCCCCAAGTCCAGGAAGAGGAAGTGAATGCTCTGGAAGCCAGCCCCTGGCTCTCTATGCCTCAAAGGAACAAGCTCAGAACTGTGCTAGAATCTGGGAAAGCCTGGTCCCAGGCTGACAGGGAAGCAGCGGGTCACAGTGGGTGAGGTAAAGCTGGCTCCTGCCCCCCATGGGGGGCTCAGGGGAGACTATGGAAGGGCCTGTTGGCCCTGGTTCCTGAAGGACCTTACTCCTCCTCCTTGCCCAGGCGCCTCCCTAGACTGTGTCCCTCAGGTATGACCCAGCCTCAGGGAAGACTGCTTCTTCAGGAGTCTCCAACCCAGGGAACCACAGATAGGCAGCCTGGGCCAAGCTGAGGGCCCTGATGCTTCTCTTCTACCCTGACCTCCCCTTCCCTCCCAAGGGCCCCAAACCCACAGGGGCCCTTGCCCTCACCCCCCAAGAGAACCACAGGACAGCAACCTAGACCCTGTGGCCCCTTAACCAAGTGCTGTGCTTCAAGCAGTGCCCCCTGCCCAGAACCCCACTTGCTCATGGGCAGCCCCAGTGTGGGCACAAGGAGGCTACTGAGGGTTCTTGAGGATGCGGCCATGGCGAAAGTCATAGACATGGCGGCAAAGGAACACCAGCTCAGGGTCCGTGTCCTCGGGCACTGTGCGGTGTGGCGGGGTGGAGTAGTCTGCAGACGGGGGCACCAGTGCTGTCTTTCGGCTGGGAAGGCCCTCCCCTCGGCGCTTGGCCATGGCACAGAATCTGCAGTAACAGACAGTTTGCTGTCTTCACCAGAGCCGCTTCTGCGGGGAAAAC